AGAAGAGAAGAGAAGAGAAGAGAAGAGAAGAGAAGAGAAGAGAAGAGAAGAGAAGAGAAGAGAAGAGAAGAGAAGAGAAGAGAAGAAGAGAAGAGAAGAGAAGAGAAGAGACTGATCACTGATTTTGGCTTGTACTTAAGAAGCATGTGAGGGTGCACATTCCCAACAGACCCAGTATTTGCAGATGAACGCTTACTTGCTTCTTCCTTTAAACAGGGGAAGGACATTTTAATAACTTTGTCTTCAAATTCATTAAAAACATTTAATGGCTGATTCTGTGCAGAATATATCACTTTAATTGCAATACCCACAGAAACACACAGTTCCCTCACACATTTGTTTGACTGGCCTATAATAAATGCAACAACAGCAGTGGTACCTTCTACTGTTTCTGTTTTCGCATCTTCATGTTTTTATATAATCTGGTAGGTTTGCTTTGATTAAAAGTAGCCTTTTTAACTTGACCTTGTGCACAGGGCACACAGGGACTGTGTTGAAAGGGCTGAAGTGAATAGTGAATTCCTGTTAACATAAATGTATTGTATAAAATCAGGCACTTATGCAATAACACACTGCTGTGCAAGAGAGCAGGCTTCAGCCTATACGGCACTTTAATGACTCATCTAACAGCATTTTAAACTAATCAGTGTTTTAAGTTTAAATAACCATGAACTGTGGTTTTATGATTCAACCCAGCTATAGATCTGTTTCTTTTTTTTGCTTTTTTTTTTTGCTCTGTTTTGCCAAATTTTTGTTACAAGAATCTGGGTAAAATATTGGGAAGTTGGAACGTGCTCAAAACCAGCAACTGCACAGCACGTAGCTTTGGGTGACCAGTGATTTCATGTGGTTCAGATAAATGTGGAGGTGTACAATGCCAATATTCTATGTGATAGTTTCCAGTAAAATCTAAAATAAATCCAGGCTGCACATTGGGCTTTCTCAGCTTGCGCACTTTCACTGTTGGTATGCAGATGTGCAAGAGTCAGAAGTGTTAGTACATTACAAGCATTGCAAAAGTAAGTTTACGCAGGTAACCACATGGGAAGGGAAAAGGTATTGAAATTATGTGTTAGCACAGCACATCCTATTCCCTTCTCAGAGGCCACAGCTGGGGGATTTTATAACAATAGACACCAATGATGTGCTCACAAAGGGGAAGGTGTAGGTTTAGAGAAAACAGCCTTCAAGCTGTAGATGTGTGTCCACGTTTTCTTCGCTCAGCCTTTTCATACTCTTTACATTACCATACACTTCCTTATCTATCTTTAGAGTATACAGTTCTGAGCAAAGTGTGAAGATTATGACATTACTGAGGGCGGTGCACAAGAAAAGCGCACTGCCTTAATGCATCTCAGATATTACCATAGCAACAAGGAAAGCTTTTTTTATGGGCTATAGAGGTCTACAAGAAGGTCCCAGAGCCTTTCATTGTTTCAGTTCATTACCTGTACCTGCTGGAATGCTTTCTTCTTCATTGCTTTATTGTACATGTTGCTAGTGTCTGCTGTATGTTCTGTAGATCTATTTTGTGTATTTTAGGTTTTATTTTCATTAATAATGCATTTTTATTTGTGCTGTGACATCACTACTACTACTACTACTACTACTACTACTACTGTTTGCTGCTACAGGGATTATTAAAGTTTCATATTATCCTGTCTATTCTTAGGTGTTGACAAGAAGCAATTATAAAAGCATTCACACTTGGACCTACTGCGTTTGCACGAAACTGCACTGCATGGGTGACACAAATAAGCCCAGCCTTCTACTGGTTGGTCTAAATGTTGTTGTTGTGGTATTTGGGTGACAGGAGTCTGATCCACACTTACACTGCACATTGAGCTGGACCTGTGCCTCTCTGCGTTTGATGTTAAGCCCATTGTACTGAGCGGTCTGGCACCGGTATGGCCCCATCATGTCCCGGCTGACGTTCTTTAGCCTCAAGCGGCCATCAGGTGTCTCCACCACGGCCATCCCCGATGGCATTAGCAGGTCCCTTTCTGCCCGCGACCAGAGAATAGGTGGACGTGGTTTCCCATCTAGCACTAAGCACACCAGCTCGGCGTTACCTCCTTCTCGCACATTGACCACCTGACCACCTGGTGGAACTGCTAGCACTGGAGGAGAGACTGCAAGGAAGGGAAAGGACATACTTCTATATAGCCTGAAACAAATTCAGTAATGGTTTGTAATGTACACTGAAGTGCTGCTACATAGGAAAACATTCTTATAGTTTTCATTTCAGTTGTGGCTTTACTAATGTGGAGGTAGATGAATCTGTGCTTAAATGCTTAAATACACAAGACAAGTACACTGCAATGGAGAAAAGGGTTTTGAATGAGCCAGGAGGAGGACAGGACTTTAAAATCACATTCTGTATGAACAGAGACACCACATAACAGAAAAGCTTATGAAAGAAACTTACATTTACAAGGCTAATTTTACTGGACAGTCACAGTTTCAATGCTAGAAAAGAACACTGAGAAACAGACAGAATGGTGTCTGAAGAGAATACTGTGCTAAGGTTGTCACCCCTGCTTGAATTTCAAAACTTCAAAAGACAGCACAAATGAAAGGAACACCGTTAATTCAGTGACTTTTGTTTTAGAAAAGACACTGGTTGTGCTCAAACTAATAAAACAAATTGTTTGTTCAAATTTATCCATACAGATTAGTATATAAAAAGGTATATACCTAAACTAGATACTGTATGATCTGTGTTTAGTATGTATTAAAGAGGAGAGAGTGAGGATGTGGCAAATTACAACACTACCAAAATGAAAGAGAGACCAACAAATCAATGAAGGCTGAAACAACTTCCTAAAACAACAATCTACCAAGTTCACCAAAGCTACAGTAATCGGCACATCAGTGCATGAACTGATTTACAGCCCAGTGGAACATATGGGCTTGTTACAGTATTGCTGGTCACCTGAAGTATTTTTCTTTAACCAGTGTGAGTTAGCTACTGTATTTCACATGAACTGACACACATTATGGAAAGAAAAGAAAAATCTTACCACTGTTCTGAGAGATGTTAACGTCCACACGAAGCTCTGGGACCCTGCTGCCTGGGAAGTTGGCCACACAGCTGTAGGTAGCCAAGTCTCTGAACTTCATGTCCACAATCTCCAAGCTGCTGGTGCCAGGTGCCATGTCTGGGTCGCTGCGCAGCAAGATCAGGTTGTCCGAGTTGAAAACAAGCGCACCGTTCTTGTACCAGGTGTAGTTGACTTTGTCCTGCGGGGTAGCATCGACATGGCACGACAACTTGAGGTCCCGACCCATTTGGATTGTCTCGCTGTCCTTGTTGGAGTCTGGTGTGATTTGGAAGGTCAAGTTGCTCATTGCTGTGCGTGGTGGTGGGGTGAAAAAGTAGAGAGAACAAAGGGTTTAATGTGTGGGACAGGGTGACCCATTGGTTGTAGTGAAGTCTTGGAGGGATCGTACCAGAAAAATATTGTCAACATTATCATTTAGAAATGTACTGGCTTGTAATTCACTAACAAATTCACTCACTCACAAACTCACATTAAACATAACCCACAAGGGGCACTATTTTATAGAGCAAATAAATTACTATGATCAAATAGCATAAATACCTGTCTTTACCAAATACATGTGTGTACAGGTGGACAAAAAGGGTCACCTCCAGAGCAGAAAGTACAAACGTGGCCTTAATACAGACACAGACCGGTTACTCATGCACCAGCCCATGTAGGTAGCATTAAAGTGACTGGAAAGTCCTGGCTGAGCTGCTGGTGCACTGAATGCTGTAAACTGGTGACCAGTCTGACTTATTGCTGACAGGCAACAATGACAATGTGCTTAATGATTATTTTTTACCTGTTAAAACGGCTTTGTCTTATTTGAAAGTTCTACTTTGACAGCACATATCTGTTTGTGACAGCAGTGAGGTTTGGAGAATACACACAGGTTCAATTTAAATCAAAGAAACTGAACATGTTTTAGGAAAGACATCAAAAAAAAGGAATGGAGAGATAAATGCGAGCAAGGGAGAATGAGAGAGTAAAAAGCAATTAAAAGAAAAAGTGTAGGGTTACTGGGGAAGATGAGTGTGTGAGGCACGAGGAGGGGGCATCGTGACAAAAGGAAAGCACAGAAAAAGGAAACTGAAGAAAGAAATAAACAGAGGAAGAAGCAAATTGGGAGGGAGGGAAAGACAAAAGGAGCCAGATACAGAGTAAAATAACAGGGGGGATAAGGAGGAGGGAAGAAACAATATCAAGGACAAAGAGTAACTGTCACACTGTCACATTTAATTTTCACTTTCAAAGGCTGCGTTTCCCCAACAGATTTTCATATTGAATACAAAACAGCGCTGTTTTGGGGAGAAACAGGCGGCGAGGAGGAGAGCAGAGCTTGATTTAAACTCCTCTCGAGCTTATTAACAAGATGCTTGGGTGAAGTCATGGATATGGGGCAGTGACCATATGGTTAACACAACCCTACAACTTTACATGGTTAGTGTGGAGATGCTGTGTGTATCCATGTGCCCGTGCAGCTGTGTTGTCTGCCTACCTGCAGACTTCTGTTTCTCATGTGTCTACGTGTGTGTGTCGGATTCACTGTCTTGCCACCTGTGCTGGTGTGACGATGCGTTCAGGACCATTAAGCTAAGAGGAGAAAGCCATCCAGCATATGTTCTCTACAGTGTTAACTAACAGAAGACACTGTCGCTAATTGCTTCCTCTCCAGTCTAACTAATTGGAGTGAATAAAGATGATTAAAGGGGGATAAAAATAGGCAGAGGGGAGGGAAAATGGAAGGCTTCTGTTTTAATGGCAGGGGAATTAGAAAAAGAACGATACTTAAACCGCAGATTTCTGTAACAGCGATAAACTGCTCCCATGTCACAGGCATGAATATATCTGCACATGAGGAATGGAAGGACAGCACATTTTTCATCTCCTGTATGGGGAATCATTTCAGTTTTAAGCTTTTGATTGAAAAATGCAGTTTGTTTAATCAAACTTAAGAATATTCAAATATTTCTCAGGTGTGTCTATTTGCTTTGTTTATGACTAATGTTTCAAAAATATGTTGTTTATCATCCTCTCAACAAAATGGAAGGAAAATTATTATAAAATAAATAAATCAACCAAATTTAAATTGCTGCTGGATCAACATATCATATATTTGAGCCAAGCATTTAGCACTCACACCATTCACTGGACAAAAAAACAAACAAACAAAAAAAAGACACCCATAAATACTATCCACCTTAAAACACCCCACTTCCCCAGTAAATCTCCCAGCTTATTATGTCCCTCTCTCCCCTGAGAACAAACACACACACACATACACGTCTTACTTACTCCTGACAACCAGATTGATGTTCTTGCGAGCGGGGTTGCCCACATTGTTGACAGCCGTGCAGTTGTAGAAGCCTGCGTCAGCTGGCGTGACGGCCCGCAGGGTCAGCGTCACCCCTCGAACTTGGGCGCTGAGGGGAAGGGGGCCGGGGTAACGTGACCACATCACAGTGGGGAGGGGGAAACCTGCAATCACCTCGCAGGTTAAAAGCACATCTTGGCCAGGATCCACCACCACGGTGTCATTGACTGACAGGCGGATCATTGGGGGAGCTGAAAGCAAGGAAGCAAAAGGAAAGGATTACATGTGTAAATCACTTCGTCTTGTGCTTTGTAACTGCTGTACAGGATTGGTGGATGCAGATGTTGAAGTCTCACAGTGTATATTGACTGTGTCTTTGCATTTGTCATGTTTAAATGCAAATAAAGGTATTTCAGTGAGGTTGCAGGACAGTTCAGGGGTTTTAAGTTCATGTAAAAGTGAGAATGGGAATGTGTGCTATGTTAACGCATATGCTAAAACCCTGGTGCATGTATGTGCATATACAAGTCCCACTCACTCATGAAGGTCATAGCTGGAGGTCATAGTTAAAGGTGGTGTTGTAGTGAACTAGATTCCATTCAGAGGTGTCTCTATATTGTCCTCCCCAGCTACATAATGAAAGGGTGAGAATATTAGGAACATCTCCAAATATTATATGTAGTCCAGTACAACACCGCCTTTAACTCTGACCTTAATAATAAACATATAATTGAATTTATACATTTATGATATTTTCTTCAAAAACAGACACATTTTGAGCTTCATAAACACAGATGCTAAGACAGAAGTGCATACGATTGTATGTGTACCTAATAAAGTGGCTGGTATATATATATATCAAAGGTATTTCATGCCCTGCTCCACTGCTCTCATATCGCCCATATCCTCTCCAAGCCACAGCATCCATTTCCTGTGACTGACCTAACAGGGACAGTACAGAATGACCCAAAATGCAACTGCGGGCGGGGGGGTACTCCCATTGCCAGACAAAGATCGATAGGACCCCAGTAGTTTCAAAATAAAAAAAGAACAGAGCAGTGGGAGCGAGGGGCACACGCAACACAGTACAGTCCTGAAAAACTGACAAGGAAGGAAAGAATAAGAGACAAGCTGAAGTGGGAGAGGAGGAAAGTGCAAAAAGAAAAGTAAAGGATATTAATCATGTAAGATGAGGCTTGGAAAGAAGAAAGCAATAAACACATCCATAGAACAGTGAACTGTTAACCACATGGGCTCATACAGTGTCACAATTACCAAACAAATGGTGAAAATAAAATGATTTTGATAGTTTGAAGCTTTACATCAGAAGAAACCAATAAGGCTGAGCCAGGACAACACAACCTGTGTGATCCCACTAGCTACAACTCCAGTACAGCAGGTTTAGTTGTTCACAAGCTCAGAACAATGACTCCAATGTAAAGCTAACATTGCTTTGTGTTTGCTGGATGTTTAAGCGCAGCCATATAACGTCTACAAGATAACATGTCAGGTCTGCTGCAGCTCTGCTCCTTAGAGGCCAGGAAGTTTAGTTTTTTAATGTATAGTTTTATTCAAATCTTTTATGAGGCATTTGCAGTAAGTAAACCAAATAAGTATGTTTTTAGCTAAACTATAATGAACACTGAAAAAAAAATTCTGTCAGGGCGCTGCTGGGAATTGTGGTTTAATTGCAGCTTCTCTTTGTAAAACAAGGCTCTGTAGTTAATATTGCACCATTTTACATGAAGCAGCCCACTGATGGTGAAATACTGATGTCATGTGGTGTACTGTCTAGTTCAATGTAAATCTGAGCTCTTTAGATCACATAGGTGGAAATCCTATCTACAACATGTTGTAATAGGTTTCTGCATATCTTGCCCTGGGGCACAAATGGGGTGACAAGAGGGTAACACTGAGAGAAATGAGTTTGTGACCAAAATGTCACTTGTTTAAATTCCTCGAGTGGGTGCAAAGATCTTTTTGGTGAAATAAAGCAGAAAGGTTTCTCCCTCCCTCCCTCATCAACAACTACAGTAAAAACACCCCGGGGCAAAGCAGCTCTACTGGAGCTGCTTCACTGGCCACGAGTTACTAACCTGTGGTTGTTTTGTTGAGTTCTCTGCTACAAATTTCTGTATGTGAGATAAAAGAAGGTCATTGTATTCTGTTAAAAAGTGTTCAGTCAACCTGTCACTTTGAAATATGTTTGTATTCTTTATTAAACTGCCATGGGACAGTAATTTAATATACTTTTAAAAAAAGCCAGGCTGTAAGAAATCATGCAGCAGGTGATAGCTACGTTGTTAAGCATATGGAGGCATAATGCCACATTACTCTGGTAGGAAAACACTTCCGGGGTTATTTAGAGCTAAAATAAAAGGAAACAAAACAACTGGCTCCTGAACTTGTAGCAGTTGTTTTACATAATTATTCTATATATTAATTCATTTGTATGACATATGCTCCTTGTTTGGAGAATTTATCTCCTCTGTCACAAAGACTAAAGAACATACATGTACAAACACATACTGTACATATGTTTGTTTTCTTCACACTGATTTACCTGGGGACTTTAACCCTACTTGCCTAACCTTTACCCTAACATTTAACCTAAAGCTAATCTTTCACCAAACTTAAACCAAGTCGTTACCCTAAAATTCAGTGATTTACAGTACATGGTGGAGGAAGGCGAGTCTCCACAGTGTGTGTGTGTGCAAACAGGTTTTGATCCCGACATTGTAATACCAGACACACACACACACAGTAAAGAGCTGGAGCTACAGCAGTAAACACCGATTTTATTTTCCAGTGTGAATTCATTCCAATTCAGTGGATGAAGAAAGATGAAAGAGACCTGCACTGTCTAATAGGTTTAGATGTTTGTAGCAAAAAAACAAATCCAACCTCGGAGTCAGAGCCACGTGAGCCACAGCATCCTGAGTAAAGAATTATCTGCAGCTGTCTGTCACCTCTTTCAACCACTAGCAAAACTTTCAATAATTTAAATCACAACAGTCACAAATTGAGTGTCTATTTGGGTCCTGACAGAGTTGGAGTCTTGCGGCTTGTTTGAGCTCAGGAGGCAGCTGAAAGGTGATCAGCTGCTGACCATGTGTGTTCTTGTAAGAAGGAACAAGAATTAAATAAACCATTTGCATCAATGTCTTTTCAACACTTTTAGGATTTGTATTATTCATCAATGCCTGGCTGAATGCTTCATAGTGGTTAAGGAAAACAAGTCGTGCTTTTTGAATCTATAATTAATGAAGAATTAGTGTTATGACTCTGACAACTAACATGTAGTCTAAATAACCTCATAAGTCAAATGTGATCAAGCTACAGTAAGAGAAGCTCCAAAACTACCGAGGAAAGCTGAGTTGTTGTTTTCCTATGACTGAAAAGATATTGTTACTTAAACATTAGTTCTTGTATAATGTATGTTAACTTAACTGTTGACACACCTATTGAGGATCCCCAAATGTTAAGCATATAAGCATGTAATATTGAGCTATTAAACTAAGCCATTAAATTCACGTTGGAGGCAGGAGAGAGTTAATCGCCAGTGAGAGAATCACCCCACACAGTGCAGGAAGCAATTCACTCCTCTAATAGACTTTATCCAGTACATCCTCTCGTCTAATCTCTTTTTTAACAGATTGCAATCACCATAATGAAAGAGGTGCACAGCGGCAAACTAGTTTACAGATACATGTTTCTACTAATACAAGCGTGTGCACAGAGGCACACAAAGAGACAAGCTTGTGCTCTCATAAATGGGTGGTGAAATGCGCAAGCAAAGACACACACATACTAATGGGATATCTCTTTAGCTAACCTCACCAGAGATGACTCTCAAGATGACAAGAAATTTCACTGGTGTAACAGCTGCAATCAGCACACAAATAGCACTGTCCATTCCCATCGTATCAAAGCAGAGCACCAGCAAAGCAAACCTCTGTGGTGCTAAAGGGCTTTCTAAGCATTAAACAATGGAAATGGTTTGCTTAGTCTTTTGTTGTCTTTTAAATACAGTTACAGTTCAATTAGGTTTGGGGGTATTATACTGTAGTGCAGCCCTGTATCCTGCATTAATCGATTAAGGCCACTTAATCTGCATGTTGCTCATGTGCCCAGTGGACTTGTGTCATATTTTTTTATGCCGGCCTTACACCAAAACAATTATTCAAGCAATTTCAATGTCAATTAACTGTGTCAGAATAAAATAATGAGAGTTTTGCAACAGTTGTGTTGCGCTCCTGTCATCTCAGTCATTTGGTATAAGATGGTGATCAGAGCTGTTTAATTCAGTCTTTTCTCGTCTTGGCGCTCTGATAAACTCAAACATATCGTAAGTCTTTAGACTTGGCTCATGCAAACAGTGACATCCATCCATCCATCCATTATCTCTACCGTTTATTCTTGAATAGGGCCACAGGGGGTTGGAGCCAATCCCAGCTGACACTGGGCAAGAGGTGGGGTCCACCCTGGACAGGTCGCCAGGGTCACAGGGCTGACATGTACACAAACAACCACACACACTCCTATGGGCAATTTAGAGTCACCAGTCAACCTAAGCTGCATGTCTTTGGACTGTGGGAGGAAGCTGGAGTACCCAGAGAGAACCCACACAGGCACAGGGAGAACATGCAGACTCCGCATAGAAAGGCCCCAGGTCAGCCAGGGCTCGAACCTGGAACCTTCTTGCTGTGAGGCGACAGCAGTGACCCGCTCTCACTCTCTCTCTAAAAGAAAATAAAATAAAAATACTGTATATACATATATAATAATGAAAAGTAATTTTCTTCGCCTGATAATTAGCTTATTAGAATTATGGTAAAATCTTTTATTCCTAAATGAAGCAGTTAAGGAGACAGGCAGCAGCTCTGGCATGTGTCACACTGTGATGGAAAATACTCAAGGTTCATACAAACTGAGGCTGTCCGATGCATAAATAACATCTTACCCCATGAGATAAGAACCACGTTTTTGTCCCACTACTGCATGTTATTCCCACTCAGCCTGTTCAAATGCTTTCTCCATGTCCAGACATCCATTCACTAATATGGTTGAGATTTGTCATGTGGAGCTTTGAACCCAGCAATGGCTACACACATAGTTGTGGACATACAGTATGTCTGATAATGATTCTTTTAGGAAAAAGATTGAGCAAACCTGGGAAGAATTCAAACCTATACTACCAAGTTGGTCAAACTAGCTAGGAAGAGAAGAGCTGTGTCTTCACTGATTACAG